TTAGCTGGAACTCTAGATGCATTTAAAATGTCACAGGAAGCTGAAATGGTCGCTCTGTGTAGCAGATAAAGCAGAGTTTAGGACATTAGTGGAAATGGAATCCCTTTAATGATTGCCATTATTTCGATCGTCAGACTGCTGCTAGATTTTTTGCTAATTTCACCATACATGCCAACGGAAAGTTAATTAGTTTCCGGCTGCGGATTTTAAGAGGAATTATCGGCGAAAGCAAGAAAAACATTTAGAGGCACGTACAAAATTTTGAGGCTGCGTCTAAAAAGACGTTTTAGCCCCAGGCGTGCCTTTATTGATGCTACCAGCTGCCGGTAGATAATCTGAAGGGGATTTTCAATTTTCCGCTAAATTTGTCTCGAACACAACTTTATCTTGTCAAGATTTAGGGCTCTTCTTATTTAATCAATATAGAGAAAGAAACTGGAGGGTTACAAATGGGCATCTTCCACGGTTATCCAATAAGCTATAAACAGCAGCGGCAGTTCCCATGTGATTAATGCTAAAAAAATTGCAACGACAATTAGTTTCATCGCTCTGCTTGAGCAGTTACTTCCACAAGTTTCAAGCAGTTTTTTAATTTATGGATCTTCGTCTACTACTAGTACCTTACAAAATTGGAAAAGTTCTGCAAGTGCTCATCATCTCCTCTCTGTGCTGATGGTGCTAAACCCGGAGATAAAGCGGAAATACTCATCAAGACTGAAGATCATTATGAGAAGACAAAGCCTTGGCAGCTGGAAAAATATGCTAGCAACAATTAAATCGGTATGACTAATGGTCATGCTTGATGAAGAGCCTGCATTAAAATGCAGGACGCATCATGGCTTCTTGTATATTTATTTGCTGATGCTGCCCGGCAGGAAAACCCAATGACGCCATTAGAAGTGACTTATTTATACCAATGCCCAATCGGGAAATGACATTTTCCAGTTTCAGCCTGCTAATCCTGCACTGTTCAGATTGGCCGGTGTTTTTTCTTTGCTAGGATGCTAGATTACAATAGGCCCGGTTCAATTCAGCTAGTGTATGCCGTAACGATTATTTTATTGCCACTTGAAGGAGCAGTGCGCGCTCTGGTCTTTATAATAAATTAGTTTGATGATAAATAAATTACGGAGGATTTTCGTGACGCCTTCGCTAAAGTTCGCAAGTTCGCGCGAGCGAGCGACCGCTTAAATAAATGATGCGACCGTGAAAGAAATATGAATGAAGTCGATAAAACTCCTTGAGATTACCGACTTAGGGCTGAACAAGATGGATATCTTTGCCGGATTTTTCACACCACCGTGATAGGGGTTGATGTTGAGGTCATCCCGGGGGTTTTACTTGGACTTTAAGGATCTAGGCGTTGGCTGCTTAATATCCAAGCAGTCTTCCTAAGCTGGTCATTGCTCGGTTTAACTCCTCCATTTGGCCCTTCTTTGTTACCAAACTGTTTTTTGCCCCAATAAGATTGATGTGTTTGATCATGACCTTAAAGTGTTTCACCCATCCCTCACATCCCTCTTTAACTAAACAAGTCTCCACTTGAATGCTTAAAACATGAACGCCTACAGCGCTCCATCTAATTCTTTGGACCAACAACGTCTCTCCGAAGAGGCCCATTCAACTTGACCATAAAACCAGATAAATATTAGCGCTCTTAGCTGAGCAAATAAGCGAAATGGCCGCATACAAAGCGAGCGACAGATCCAGACATTCACTTCCATATTTAACTTGGTGTTTCTGCTTGAATTGTGTATTTGGTTGAAGTGCATGAGCCCGAACTGAACCCAATGAAGACTGTTGATTACGCCCGTAAAGCGGAAAATTAATCTCAGCCTTTTACATTCTGAAGTGATTTAATGCGGAATGAAGAACAGAACGGTCGATGTTTTATTTGCACTTGGCACCGCTCATGTTTTAATTTGCGAAGTCTAATCGAGGCGAAAGCTCGTCGCTTCACTTTGTCGGTGGTTGATTCTGATTCCTATGGGATGTTTTGTGGATTTTCTGGAACAGCGTCTTTTGCTTTATATTCATTGGCATTTTTGCGCTGCTTCCGAGGTTGAAATTTCGCAATCTCTTTATTCAATATTCAATTGAATGAATTGACACTACTACTTCAAATGCGCAAGTTTTAAGGGTTGAAGTAGTGGATTTTTTCGTTTGGGAATTTGCAACCTAAAGTGAGCCTTAAGGTGTTTGCCATACAAGATGCTTTCAGAACAGTTCTCAACTAATTAAGTTGCACTTTCAATTTAATATGCTAATCCACCATTGACCTCAATGCATATTTTCATTTTACTTAAGAAATACACGATGTTTTCTTCGGCTTGCCGTGGCTACTGAGGCGAAAAGGTTTGTTAATGCCAGCCAGTTAGTCCAAAAGTCGTCAGCGAAGGCCTGATTTTAAGCTGATTGGCTTATGTTTAATTTTATAGGCTACAATTAAGAACAAAAGTTTTGCATAAAACCAAGACTGTTTTGTGTTTTTTTCTCGTGTTTATCAGATATTTCTGTTTCTGAACATCATCATCAGTAATTATCAAGAGATTGGAAAAGTGGCCAACTGTGGATTGATCTGTTGTGAAAAACAAATCAATTTTTCGAAAGCTGGTTGATCAACTCAGAAGTGTTGTTTCTGAGGCTGTTTACCTTCGGAAACTTGTTGCTTACGCCAATTAATTTTCCGGGAGTTTTTGCTAGTAAAAGCTGTTTGTCACTTTAAAGGTGTGAATCTGTGTTTGAATCGAAATGGTATGCGTTGCTCGGTCATTTTGTATCCGAAATGGGGCCCAGTGGCATCCTGACGATTCCCCAAGATGCGGGCGATTTATCCCAGTGACAGATCGTATTACGCAATTTTTTATTTTTCGGGACGGAATCGTCCAGGGATAAACTGTCGAGAACGGGGAGCTTAAACAACCATATTTTCATGTAGCTGAGAGTAACGTTCTGTAAAAATCTTTGTTGTTCCCGGCCGGGATCTTCGCCAGTTCCCGATGACAAATCGCTGTTGCGAAATTTTAGGGGCGACGATCATATTTCAGCGATTTTACGAGCCTGTTCTCATCCGTCAATTTAAGCTGATCTTATGATGAAAATTTATTTAAATTTATACTTTATTGAAGTGGCATTTTTTTTGGTGCTTCAACTTCGAGCTAAATGCCGCTTTAACAAGGACAATAACAAATAACTGTACAAGAACATGCCAATAACGATATGAGTCAGGTCATTGATTGCTGTACGTTCACGATCGTTAACCAGGTTTACATTCATTTCACAAAATAGCTGATTAGCATATATGGTTACTAGTACAGTGAATGTTTCAGTCGCTTAAGTATGCATTATTTGTACCTATGTAGTATAAGCTGAGACACGCAATTACATCTCACAGGGACAAATAATGCTGTGGCAACTTCAACTTTAGCCGCTCTTAAGCCCCTGCTGCTTACTGCCGATTTTTTCTGCCAATATTTACCGTCCAGGTTTGCACTCAAGTTTGCTGCTGTTGTGTCAACCTTGAAGCCATAAGCAAACTAGTATTGAAATTATTTATTGCATGGCAGGAGAAGCATAAATGTTCTGTGAGTCATTGCAAAAATTAGCAATTGTTAATGGCCAACATTTGGCTGTGTATCATTTTGCTTATATTTGCTTAATAGAAAGCAGAATTTGTGCCAAACGTGTGCAAAGTTCTAACGAATTTGCTCTCATAAACTATCTGCTTCTATCGGTTGCTTTACCCACAAAATCTAACTTTTTGTACAAAATCTAATTGTGTATATGTTTAAACAAATAATTTGTGCGTGATCCTAAATAAACAACAGAACAAAATGTGTTTATTGCCGCTTTGAAATGCAGACTTTGCACCAGAAATCCCAAACGAATTTTCCAGCATTTGTGGGGAATTATTTAAAATTTCTCTCTGTGCGGTCGCAGGATGTAAACCGTTTTCCAATTATAAATAGTTTAGAAAGTCTTTTGAATGCCGCTAATTTTCAAATCCGGTTCTGCTTAATTAAACAGCCTGAACCAACATTTTTCCGATATTGGGCCGTTAGTTGAAACTGAATTTTTTCTTGTTGAATGTTTCTTGTATGTGATTTTGAAAAATTTGTTTTTCACTTTGGACATTTCACATACAATTAAGGGTTGTTTTCAACAATGAAATCAGCCCGAACGCTACTCAAAATGTAGTAATGCGACATTAAACGTTTTTTATTTGCGGAATGGTTCGAACCATGGCTTTCAACGCTGTGCAAGAAGAAAGTAGTTCGAAATTCGAAAATTTCAATTTACTGAATATCAAATGCGTTCTGCTTTAAACTTTCGCAGGCCAAACACACCTCTGAGGATGGTGGCTATGGGTGCTAGTGAAACGGCAAAATCAAATTCTGGAGGTTTTTTTTCATGTTGAATGAAAGTAAGTTAATTTAAATTGTTGAAAACAAAACGCGTTTGATTCAGCAATTTTTTTTCATTCATTTCATTTCATTTCATTTTTTTTCAGCAAACATTCGGGTGATTTTTGGAAATTGTCACTGTTTCAGTCCTTTACTTCGTGTCCTGATTTGCCCGGTATCGCGATTTTTCCTCCTGTAGGGTTTCGGGTGTGGAAGTTTGTCTTAAGGGTTCAATTGAGTCTGGGAGATGCAAAAACCAGAAAACCGATATTTAGAGCAAAAGGCCCAACAAATGCATTCTGGAGAATTGAAGCGGACTACTAAAGCACATGAAGTTTGCATTTTTCAAATTCTCCCGATGTTCAAATGAGTTTTTTGAAGAACAAGCAGCTTGTTGCATTTTTTCCGGATTCAAGCAAATAAAACAAACTTGATTTTCCCGAAAATGAATTGCGTTTTTCGCAGCATTCGCTCGCATGCAGCCGAAATACACATGGGAAATAACGAAAGTGGCCACTCAGTGTGATAACCGGTCGCTAATCAAACACCGTGGCGCGTCCAAGACGCAAAAGCCACAAACATATTGGCGAAACTGACCTGATATTTGCACATCGTCATTGTTGAAGACCAACCACAGGGAGAAGAAGTGATCGACCGAATGGTTGGCCGTGAGATGCCCGTCGATGCCGGTTGTGTCCGGTAGCTGAAGAACCGCATGGACGCTGGTCGAACACGTCGCGACGTAAACGGCGACGGCGAAGAAGGCGTCCAGCCGAAGCCACATCGCTCCTCTCATACCAAGAGCACGAAGACGACTGACGAAGCCGACAGGCGACCATAACACTGGAACTCACAATTCCTGCTGTGCAGCAGTGGCAGACAAAATTGCGCCCGACGACGTGAAATAATCGATCGCAGGAAAGCCGTTTCTGTCGCACCTTTTGGCCCTCTTCTCATAATTGGACCGATTTTTTCCTGCCAAAGGTCCCAATCAGATCATTCAACCGTAGGACAGAGCAGCGAACTAACACATCAAATAACCAGATGCATAACTTGATGCGATGTGATGCTCAATTTTCTTTGCGGAAGCTGAACTCCTTAGTGGCAGGCAGATTCAAAATTGGCCCTCTTCAGAGCACGAAAAAACTGTTAGATCGCACAGAAAACGGAGACATTAGCAAAAAAATGAATCAGAAGTTAGACAGCAACGTATCTGCTCGCATCTGCAAATTGCGTTTTCGTCGCCCACATTAAAAATGCTTCATTGCATATACTTTCCTGACTGTGTTTCAATTCCAAATCAAAATTAATTCCACCATCATCAGTGGAAAAATACACCGAAACGTATTTTAATTGATAAATAAAGACAATAAATGACTGAAACCCAGGAATTAATTTTGTTTTTATTTTTATTTTATTTTATTAATTAGACCTCACAATATGCCTCAAAACTTTCTCTACCGTATGTTAGACAATCAACTTTTGAAGAGCACATTCGAAAAACTAACCACACATACAGGTTTGGCAACTTGGAATTCAATGAATCTAAATCGCGGAATTTTTCAACTGGAAATAAATCTGGGACATGATGGTGTTCGGTTCATATAACTCTGAAATTTTGAGCTGAACCGGATCACAAACTGCTTGTTCTCAAGTTTCCGCCTAATGCACCGGGCAATGGAAAAACTTCGCTCTTGTTTCGCGCAAAATTCGCAAAGTTTAAGCCCTGCCGGATTTAGTGCATGTGTGCAGAAAAGTTTTGTCTTTTAAAAAGTTACGCTCTCCTGCTGTTTTCGGCCATCTTTCACCGGGCATTAAGCAAATCGATCGGCGATTTATCAACAACGGTCTCGAAATATTGCTTTATATATTGGATGGAGTGGCTGTCGTCTGTTTACTGTCGAAACTGCTCTAATGTGTTCCTACAGTTTACGACATCAGTAATTTATGGAGAAACTGAACGGAATGGCAACGCGTTCCTGGATGCGACAGTTCAGCTGGATCTTGCAAGATATAACGTGATTACATCCAGAAATGTGGAAACTGTTTGTTCATGTAAGGGCATGTCAGTTTTCAAATAAGTAAACTTTCGGTATAAAATCGAGTTTTTTAACACTCTATTTTACTGCGCGGGTTCACGAGCGCCTTTTTGAGCCAAAAACAATATTTTCCTTGCCAATGTTCCAAACGTTTTACTAATATCCAGACGCGGGAATTCGGAAAGTCCCTTCTCCTAAAACCTAATATCGCTGCAAATCTGGCGACTTTCAAGAACAATAAAATTAAATTGAACATTCCAACAATGGATTCTGATGCTCGAGCCATTAAAACGTCCTTCTCCATGGTGGATTTTTCAATGTTGAAGTTTTCATCGGATTTAAGTGGAGCAGCTTTTAATAATTGTTTTTTGACATGTTTTATCAAGTTTTGAGGAGTCTTTCAGTTGCCTAGAGTTAGGTTTATTGTGGGAAAAAAACTTGCGAATATGCAAATATTTGCTTCAAAAGGTCTTCTAAAAATAATTTGGGAAAAAAATTCTTATTAAGTGTTTTAAGGTTCAAGGTTTAAGAAATCTCTTTTTATGTGTACTGGAAAACTGGTAAGTTTTACGAGCTTTTAGCTCGAGATAAAAAAATGTTTCTGGCGTTTCGCGTGGCTTGCGTCTTCAGAGTTGTGTTTGCTTCGGGCGAAAATAATTTCTCACAAAAAAGTAAGATTTTTACTTCCATTGCTTGAAACTGGTGCTTGAATCAAAAACTTACCAAACTCAAAAATATCCATTTCGTATATGCAAATTAATTTTTTCCAGTATATGCTTAAAACCCCAGACAAATCATAGTGATAAAAAATGGATTTTTTCCTAATTCTCCTGCTATAAAGGTCTAGGAGGAATCCCATTGAAAACTTAATCATAGCCCGAATGTTAATCGAGTCAAAGAATCCATCTCCGCCGCTATATCCAGTAAATCTCCTGTCGATTCCTCATTGGATCCAGGAAATTAATATTGGAACGAACGGGTAGACTTAGATATTAGAAACGTGAGACACAAAAGGGGGATTTGCTATCTGTTTGAGCAATGTCCCATCAGGTCTAGAAGAGATAGAGAGCTCGATGCTTTGTTGCAAACGAAGGAAAAAGCCGGACATTTCGCTACCAAGAAAGTCCAAGTAGGAATTGAAAGGAACATAATTCTAATTTTAATTTTTCCATGCCGCCACTTGGAAAAAGTAACAAATTATTTCCTTGGGCCCGGCCAAAGGAAAGGGGCGTTTTCAGGAAAATTGCCGTCTTTTGCATTTAAATTCGAGATTATGTTTACAGAACAGTTTTGATTAAAACTGCCCGCCTGGAAATGCCATTTTTGAAACGCTAATCCGCTGTAATCGCACTTTATGTTTGTGTTGGCTGCAGTTGTAAAGTTTCCTCAAGTGTTTCAAGAAGTTCGAAATTGCCCGTTTTCGTTATCAATTTTAATGGACGTTTAGGGCAAATTTCATTGGAGATAAAGCTGTTTTTTTGCAATCACCATCAACTCAACTACAATTGGGAAAATATGATCAGGTAACAATAAATTTTATTAATATCAGTAGGCAAAATTATTTGGCTTAAAAGATCAGTTTAGTGTTGCAAAGCTCCGACTCACTGCACAGTTCGATAGCGGAACAGGATTTTCTTGTTCTTCTGAGATCTCTGAAAAAAAAACTCAAATTGAATACCTGTTGAAAAGCCAGAAAATGGACTGAAGCCGAGAACGGGTTGAAAAATCGATTTTAGTTGTGTAGCGACAGTCGATTTGTTCCATCACATAAAATAACAGGCACAAAGAAAGCGCCGGGTTTAATTAACAACATACATCAATGGAGAGCGTATTGTTTAAGGAAAAATGGAGCATTGTATAATGGAAAGACCGCGTATTGTTCGGGGGACGTTAAAGACCTGATGTCGTTCCCCAAAAATGGCGAAATAAATTGCCGTAACATAATTAGCAGTTTTTGCCATTAATTCGACCTGTCTGAAAGGTGAACACACTTTATTAATGGAAATATAAAAATTGGCTACCAACTGTGATTCCCTGCAGAATCAATATAATTCGTTTTAGAGTCGACCGGCCCTCCCGTCAATCCCCTGTGAATGGAGAGCGAATATAAATATAGAATAGAATGGAGGCTTTGGGAAAGTGCACACAATAAAAGTCTTTTGATGTACTTTTTGACAACGCTCACTGGGCTCGGTGTTTTAAAATCGCTGATATCCTTCCCGCACTGTTCTGCCGGTTTATTTGCGTATTTTTCATTTCGTTGATGTAGGTTTGAGGTACATTTTCCGGTTCACTTGACTTACCTCGAATTTGAGGGCCTGCTTCGACTCGTAGCTCTTCCGAGCCAGCGCCACTCGAACCCACTCGGGCTTGTCGGATATGACGATGTGGATCAGATAGCGTGTGCCTAGTAGAAGTTGCTCGATGCACATGAAGGCGATCAGAAGCTCCACATCGGAATAGCTGGGGAAGCGTTTTCTGATGTCCGCGCTCAAGTACAACACGCCGCAGTTCGTCAGAATGGAAAGACCGCCTAAGACTTCAAAGGAGCGCTAGAAACCTTTTGAGGTGATTGGTGGATACGGAAATATGGACTAATCACCTGCCAGGCGCCGATGTCTTTGACTTTCCGGATAAACGGACGCCGGAAGAGCTGGCACATCTTGAAGGCATCCGCTCGGATCTCTAGAACGTTGTTCAACAGCGCCCAGAGGGCAGCTATGGGGTAGACGGAGGAGAAGAGGAACACATAGCCGAACTGGATGTACAGCTCCAAGTAGTCGTCGAAAGTGTCTTGGTACTCTTCCATAGCACCCTCTGTTTCAACCTGCAATTGCAGTGGATCTCAGCAAGGCTTGCGACTACGTCGGCCAATATGTTAATGCACAAATCCAGAAATTATTTTAGTTCTATTCCGGAGCGTTTCCTGGAGCACATTACACGTGCTGCAAACATGCAAGCTTTAAAGTGCAATTTTTCGGGAAATGCCTGTTTATGCTTGCAAAAATGAAAACGCGTCTGGAAACCCTATGCATGGTCCAGATTGCGAGTGTGGATTTTTCCGTGGATTCACAATCCATCCGAGAGAAAATCTAAGTGTGTTAGAAAAATCGCGTTAAATAAATGAAGCTCATAATCAATTAAAACAAAACTGCTCAATTATCCGGCAGGCTGCAAAAGCTGGTATTAATGGAGTGCTGGAACTAGATAATGAATTTCCACTTACCATGGGGAAAATTTCCGAACAGAATAGCGAAAACTTTACCTGCTTTATTCTGGGATCGTCGGGCTGCAGCTGAGGGATGTTTAATAAAGGAAAACTTCCGGCCGCTGCTTTTTCCTGCTCCACCTCGGGATTCGTTTTGTGGCTGGTTTTTTGTTGCTTGAGGCTTTGCGACTGGAAAAACGAACGGTTCTGTTACTTTATTGGAAAATTATGTAATTATA